CTCTCACTGTTGTGGCCTCTCCCGTTGCGGAGCACAGGCTCCGGACACGCAGGCTCAGCGGCCATGGCTCACGGGCCCAGCCACTCCGCAGCACGTGGGATCTTCCTGGACCGGGGCACAAACCCGCGTCCCCTGCATCGGCAGGCGGACTCTCAACCACTGCGCCACCAGGGAAGCCCGCCCATCTTTTTGGTGGGGCTACAAGAAAGAGTGAGAGCGTGCCCGCTGAGGCCGGGAGAGCGCCTCAATCCCCCACTGCCCTGGGTGAAGGCAGGGTGTCGCCTTCTAATTCACAAGAGTGTCTGAAGGGCTGGTGGCGGGGTCCTGCCCCGGGCAGGGGGTCTGCAAAGAGACCCCGAGGTCCGTCCAGGCAGAGGCTGGGCCGAGGCTCACCTTCCTGGCTGCTCGGGGTACTTGTGTTTGCAGTACGCCTCCAGGGATGCGTAGACCTTCTCGCGAAGCGCCTCCACCTCGGCCGGGTTTGAGAGCCCCTTGGAGTCTGTGAGGGAGCAGGGGCCGCAGGTAAGAGCCCTGCCCAGGGAACCTGCCCCAGGGACCGAGAGCCCCGACTCAGACGAGGCTGCCCTGCGCTCCAGCCCCGGCCCTGCTGCTGGGCTTGCTGTGGCCACTTGACCTTGGCCCAGTCCCCTGACCTCCTGCCATCCAGCTGCCCCATCTGTAAAGTGGGATGGGCCTGCCCCCGGGGCGGCTCCTGGTTACCATGGCAACCGGGTTGACTCCAGAGGCCTCTGCTGCATTGGGTCTCAGCCCCTTCGAGCCAGATGAAGGCTCCAAACCCTCTTCTACCTGAAAGAGCCAGACCCACGCTACGGGGGGCCCTGAGGCCATCCTGAGCCCTGGGACCCCGGCGGCAGGAGTCCAGGCTGGAAGGCTCTGCCTGTGGACGGAGATACCCGGGACCAGGGTCGCCAAAAGCCCCAGGGCCCAGGGGTGAGGCTTAGAAGCACGGGCCACCCCGGCTCACCTTGGTGAGCTGTCACAGGCCTCTCTCTGAGGCACTGAGAGCCCCCCAGCCGGGCAAAGCTTTGCTAATCAGCCCCCTAGGCTTCTTCCATCTCCTAAAGTTACCCAGCCAGCTGACACTGGACGAGCCTCTCTCTCTCTCTCTCTCTCCCCACTGCCCCTGGACAGCAGCCACCACCGGGCATCTGGATTTGGGCTCACACAGCCCTGAGTCTGGCCCCAGCCAGGCGTGGTCCGTCCTAGTGGCTCAGGGGGCAGAGGCTAGAGCCTCCCTGCTGCTGGTCTGAAGCTGACGCAGCCTCCGGGGGCTCAGCCACGGAACAGGACTGCTGTCGGTTGGCCTGTGAGCCCCAGACCAGGGGGGCCCACACCGGCCCTGCCCTGGCTGGCTGATGTCCCAGTAGGTGCACTGCAGCCCAGTGTGAATGCCATGGCTCCCCCAGGCCCTGGGGCTCTGCCAGCTCTGGACATCTCCCTTCTGTCCCCTGCAACCCCACGCCTGGGCCCCAACAGGTGAACCAGTGCCAGGAGTCAAGCCACGCACGACTTCAATGGGGATCCCGCCAGGCAGGGCCGAGACACGTGGCTCAGCCTCCCATGCTGGCAGGGTCACGGGCTCGAGCACAAAGCTGGGGAACACACGTCCCTGGCAACGGGCTGTCCCCCACGAGCGGACTCCATCCCCACCCCAGCCTGGCCCTCAGCACTGGAGCCGATGGAGGGCAAGGAGTCAGGGCCCGTGACCCCTAGGGCCGTCCCATCCTCCCACCGCCTGGTCAGCTCCCTGCACCTCCCCCTAGAAGCCCTCAGCAGCCCCAAACCTGCCCCCGGTGTCCCCGTCCACCCCCAAAACATCCGGGCTCCAGAACTTCGGCAGCAGAGGCGCATGAAGAGGCCGTCTCCTCCGGAGCCCAGGATGCCGGTGCGAGTGGGGCCTCGCTTTGGACACAACGCCCAAAGGCCCGGCCAGAGGCCTCACCAAACCGCAGAGGATGAGCTCAGCTGTGCAAGCCTTGTCCGACCTTCACAAGGGCCTTGGGAGGAAGGTGGCATGGCTGTGCCCCCATCGTAAGAGAGACGCCGAGGCTCGGAGAAGGGGCAGGTGGCCGACACTGTAGCGCCCATCAGCAGTGGGGCTGGGATGAGAGCCCGGGGACCCTAGTCCCCCAGGTGGGCTGACACCCGGGCCTGGACAGCAGGTCAAGCGGCGGAAAGGCAGTACCGGGGTTGAAGAGGACGATGGCGCGCAGGCAGCCCAGCTCCGTCTTGTCCATCTGCATGTCCCGCATCTTGGACACCAGCTCCGTCAGCACCCTGCGGGGGAAGCAGGCATATGCCGACGTCCCGAGTCAGACCATGCCCCTCACAGGACCCGCCAGGAAAACCCAAAGGGCTCGGGAAGCCCGCTGTGGGCCCGGAGGGCAGCTGAGAAGAGCCAGGAGACCGGGGGAGCTGCCCAGACAGGGCGGGACAGCCCCCACACCCAGCCTGTCCCATCCCGCCCCGGGGGCGTCACGCCTCTTCCTCAAGAAGGCCTGCGAATGGGATTTTATCCTGGGCGGCCAGAGACTAAAGAGGAACCTCGTGACAGCCGGGGCGAGCCAAGGCCCCCCGCACGTCAAGGCCCCCCGCACGCCCGGGGCAAAGCCCACTGCCACACGCCCCCACGGGGCTGCAGACCAGACACGCGGCCTGAGCGCCGCATTCCTG